ACAAATTAAATTCATTAATTAATTATTAATTCATAATAAAAGACAACCGTTGATTCGCGGCCAGCAACTGCTTACAGCTGCAGGCAAAAAAAAATGAAGACCGCCGATTGACTAGCAAAGTGGTCCGAGCGGAAGAAAGGCAGTGCGCGCAGTGGCGTGACGGTGCATGCAGCGGCGAGGTGACGCACGATGGTGCTCCGGCCGGTGTGCGCGGTGGCTCGTGGTGGCTGGCGATGGTGGTGCAGTGACACGTGGTGGTGCTCCACTATTTACCGTGTTAAGTTTTGTTGGATATGAAAAATTGATGATTGATGGTTATGGGTTTATGGTGGTTCCGTAAATGGAGCACACAAACCTTTCCTGTGTTGATTTTTTTTGGATTTGGGTTCAAAAGATTTTGAGTTTCAAAATGCTTGGATGCTGATAAACTTGAGATTTTTTTTTTCTACTTCTTTGATATTTTCTTTTTTAAAGATGTAACCAGAAGCCCCAAAAAAAAGTTCCCCTTTCCTATGCTTTGTGATTCTGATTTTATAGAGGAAGAAAAGGAAAAGCTTGCATCGTTCTACATGGTGGGTAATAGGTAAAAAGGTATTCTTTGATGTATTGGAAGGGTACCATATTCAAACCATATGAACATCTCTTCAGTCTCCTATTTTTGGTTTCTGTTTTCCCCATTCTCACACGTGAACATGATTTGCTTGTAACAGTGGCCAACCTCCGTTGCAAAAGAATACATCAGTGATTTTTTGGTTTTGTTTTTATTGGTTTTTTTTTTTAAATTAAATTTTCTGGACAAAATATGGTGTCTACATATATATTTAAATAATGAAATATTTTTCTCATCCCTTCTATTCCTATTGTGAGTAGCTTCAATGGTAGATATGAAGTATATCTATGGCAATAAAAAAAAATAATGAAAAGAAAGAACAAAAACACCTTTCAACTTTCTCAATTTTTAAATATGCAAGGAACAACAAGGGTATAAATGATATTTTACCATTAATTATTTGGGAGCTTGATGGTTCATTTAACAATTTTTTTTTATATTTAATAATATTTTGGAATTGGTAAGGATTAACTTCCACACGTCTAAATTGTATTCTTAGACCTTAGTTGTTCATTTCATTTGTATGTAACCGTTTACGTGTTAATAAATTAAGATAGACATTCCTAATTAGGTTTTTTTGACCCTTTTGTCCCTCGTTAATTAATTAATAACCAATTTACCTCTCTCCCAGAACTATCCACCATCCTGCCCACATTTAGTCGATCAAATTGCACTTTTAATCGACTAAATGGGCAAAATTCAGAAATCAAGAAACACGAATTTTAGTCGACTAAATATTCACTTTGATCGACTAAATGTCGAGCACTTTTAGTCGACTAAGGCCATTATTTAGTCGACTAAATATCGCGGACCAAGTTTTTTAAAACCCCCTCATTTCGCAACGGGGGTTATTTTGAAACCCTAGTCCACTAAGGCCACGCCAAGAACCCCTCTCCTCAACCAAGTTCGAATCTCATCCCTTGAAGGTCCGATTGAAGCATCATTGGTTCACAACTTGCGAAATTGACATTGTAGGTAACGTTTTCTGACTTGCATTTGGTTTTAGGTTTAGGTTTTTTTTTGTTTTCTCCATGCTTTGGTTTCTGTTATTTTAAATTTCTTGTTTATGGTAGAAGGTTGTTTGCGGTTTTGTGGCTTTAGGTTATGGGTAGGGTGTTGAGTTTGATGTGTGGGTAATTGACTAGGGTTGATGTGGTAGCTTAGGGTTAGGGTTAGGATCAGGGTTAGGGTTAGGGTTAGGGGAAGGGCTGCTGTTTTGGTTGGGGTGTAGGTTAAGGGTTTCTGTTTTTATGTTAGGGTATATGATTGGTTTTCTTGTTAGGGTTAGGGTTAGGGTTAGGGTTTAGGGTTAGGGTTAGGGCTGCTGTTTTGGTTGGGGTGTAGGGTTGAGGGTTTGGGTTTGGGTTGCTGTTTTTGATTGGGTTTAGGGTTTGTTTTATGTTTTATTTTAGGGTTAGGGTTTAGTTTTTTATGTTGAATTTTAAAAAATTTTGATATTGTTATTGTCCATTGATATTGTTTCCACTTGCATTGTAGGTACCCTTGTTCCCATGGCTGAGCGTAGAAGATCGAGTAACGTGGGAAATGAGAGACGTAAGAAGGTACGACAAGACTGTCCGTCTTCGTTAAGGCAACAAGATGAAGAGCCCGCTCATGTCGACCTCCCATTTGGATACTTGTTCGAGCATGACCCTGTGGTTCATGATTCATTTGTCCGTGACTTTGCTAGTATGAAATAATCCCACCACCTCACCTTTAATTATCCCGGGATAAATAAGTTATTTATATTAAACACAAAATGACGTTGTTTTAGAGCAAAAATCAAGATATTGTTATAATTATAATTTATTTCAAGATTATAACAGTCTTTTTCATTATAAATTTTTAATTTTTCAACCGAAAATGACTTTGTTTTCAGAGTGAATATAGATAATTTATTTACATTCACCATAGAAATATGAAAGCTTTTTTTCTAAATATAAACATCCCCTTACCATAAAGGAGAAATTTTAAGATACGATTTATCTTCCGAAATAATTTTTGCAGGAGACTTCGTTGCTACGAAATATTGATGATATCATCTAATGAATGGAGAAAAACTCTTATGAAAGATTCTTGTTTAATGCCGTGACAATATGTTATCCAAATTAGGGTAACTTCTTTTCTGTTGTCTACATTTATTTTACGATGATTTTAAGCAAAATTTGTTAACATGCAATTAAAAATAAGGTGAGGTTGTGGGATTATTTTACATTGGTATAATTAAGAATAACAATTTTTATTTGTTAACACGTAAAACTTTAAATACAAATGAGATCAACAATTAAGATTTAAGAATATAATTTACAAGAGTGGAAATTAATCCATATCAATTCAAAAATAATATTAAATATAAAAAAATTGTTAAATGAACCATCAAGCTTCCAAATAATTAATGGTAAAATATCATTAATTTATACCCTTGTTGTTCATTGCATATTAAAAAAATAATAATACTCTCAAAATAGTGCACATTTCTTATTTTACTAAGAAAGTTGAGAGGTGTTTTTGCCCTTTCTTTTCACTAATATTTTTTTTTATTGCCATTGATATACTTCATATCTACTATTAAAGCTACTCACAAGACAAAGGGTTGGAAACATATTTCATTATTTAAATATATACAATCTCACATGCAAGATATGTTTGTTCGAAATCTAGCACTCGTGCTACACGATCAGTTGTTTATTCGAATTCAAAATCCCATTTAGGAGACATTTATTCGAATACAAGTTCACAAGTAATAGAGGCCCTTGGTACCATAGATATTTGTTTTTGAATGTTGTTCTTCTCGTTCATACTCTGCCAAAAGTTAACGATATGAATTGTCACTAACTTCAAGAGTTTTGCACTGGTTAAAATATATGATGTAAGTCCCAGCTCACTCCCGAAGCCGCTATATTTTTTAAATTTAAACGTTTTAAGGTGTGATGATAGACAATTAGGAACACATGTTGGCTCTATCCATAGCATTTCATTAGTATCATAATATTCCTGGCAACAAGGGACACAACCATTCAAAAAAGGTACGAACAAACAACACCTATATATATATATATATATATATATATATATATATATATATATATATATATATATGAAAATACTTCTACAGCCACTTTAGATAATGTTGTCTACAACTACCACTTTTTAACTAAGTATGACCAGTCATACATTAAATTGCATTTTCTCTCTCCGCCACATCAGCCGACAGTGTCTGAGGAAAGAAAAAAAAAAACAGTTTTATTGTTATAACTAAGTATGACCAGTCATACTTAGTTAAAAAAGAGTAAATGTAGATAATCTTACATAAAGTGGCTCTACAAATACTTTTCTCATATATATATTTATATATACACACACACACACACATATATATATATATAAGGCAGGATATTCTTTAGATCGGTGTAAGGGTTAGAAGTCTTACACTCAATCTTGACAAGTGGGATATAAGTGGGATTATCGGACAAGATTAAGAGTGTAACTTACACTGATGTAAAATGATCTTGACCCAGACACACACACACACACACACACACACACACACACACACACACACACACACACACACACACATATATATATATATGTGGGATAGTATCATTTGACATCGGTGTCAAACTTTGAAATTTGACACCAAATCCTAATCGTTGATTTCCGCCAATCAACGGTTATCATTTATTGGAAATTACACTTATTAATTAATCATTAATTGCCAATAAATGATAGCCTTTGATTGGCGAAAATCAACGGTTAAGATTTGGTGTCAAATTTCAAAGTTTGACACCGGTGTAAGGATCCTGCCCCTATATATATATATATATATATATATATATATATATATATATATATATATATATATATATATATATGGGGCAGGATATTCTTACCCCGGTATAAGAGTTAGAAGTCTTACACTTAATCTTGACCATTGATCTACTTGGATCTAATGGCTCATATTACTAAAAAATTAGAGCCCCTTAGATATAAGTGGGACCAACGGACAAGATTAAGAGTGTAACTTACATTGGTGTAAAATGATCCTTACCCTATATATATATATATATATATATATATATATATATATATATATATATAGGGTTTATCGTTTCTCAAGCTGCTTGAGATAATCTTATCTCCGGCTACTAAATCATAATCGTACAAAGATGGATCAATGGTGACAAAGGAAGAGAGAGAAAAAGGAAATCATAACCATTCAAAGGTGAATCAATTAATATAAGAAAATAAATAAATAAAACGACGTAGTTTTGGGGTAGCCGGATATAAACTTATCTAAGCTGCTTGAGAAATGTTTTTCCCATATATATATATATATATATATATATATATATATATATATATATATATATATATATATATACCAAAATCAAACCTTCGAATTGATTGAACAAACCTTGTGAATGATAAGAACTTCAAGCTTGGGGCACTTTTGAAGCAACTTTACCAGCGACTCCGATTTATAGCAATAATAATGACTTAGCTCCAAGCGAACCAAATAGCAAAATTCGGGCAGATCTAGATTACAACTTTTATCAAAGTCCTGCATGTAGATGAAAATACATAACCAAGATAGCATATTTTACCATGAAAATCCAAAGAGCAAAACATGAAAATCCTGTTAGAAATTCATTTTATGGGCAATATTAATTAATTAGTTTTGTATTTAAAATTAATCGGGTTAATAGATATTTCAATATTATTATTGTAACTAGCTCATTGTGATCACATTGAATTGAGCTTCTGGCATCTGTTGTTATTGGGCCTAGTTGGGCAGCAGTGTAGGCTCTAGTGTGACCCTGATTTTCCATGATGGGTGGACCCAGTGGACACAGACTCTTTTCTAGGTTATTAGCTAGGTCCCCTCTCTAGCCTATAAATATTGGAGTCAAGCTCCATAAGCCATCATGCTCCCATCTGCTGAAGGGAGCCAATTTCTGAATAGGCAATAGAGAGGAAGACTCTAGCATCTTGTTCCCATATTTCCAACCGTCCTTCTCTGACTTTGTGATGGCCCAACAAGATACACATAATTACAACTCTGATTTATTAACATTTGATATTTTATAATCATTGCATGATTCATAATTTTAGATTTAACATTTGGTATCAGAGCCACATGTATATGATTATAGAATCCAATATAACTTTATTTGTTCGGTTGAGAATTCACGTGTAGTGTTATCTTTCTTTATCATTGTTTTCTGTGCAATTCTATCTTGCATTTTTATGATTTCTAGCTAGCGTACATAGATGTTTTGAATGTACGGTATTATATGTTTTGAATGGTTCACGTGTTGAGGACAATTTCTACCCATAGTATTCAACCTAGTGTCTGTATTTTATTTTATTTTTCAATAATTGTAAGTGAATCGTGAACGGGAAGATCATTAGCATTTTTTTTTACTTTTCTTCGACAATTCGCCATTGTTAGCAGAGAAGACTGATTCGTTGATGGGTAATCTGTGAAGAAATTTATTTTTTCTTGTATAATTGTGAAAAATAAATACAATAAAGTGAAATCAACCTTCCTGGTATTTACTATTTTCAAAAGGGGCTTGTATTACTGTTCGCAGTTTATAGGTTGTTAATTGTTAATCCTGGGAAACACGCATATGATATGTTTTACCCTTATTGCATTCTATCTCATATTTATTTGTCTTGAAATCCTATTTTGAATAGCAATTAGCGTTATTCAGTGTTAAAAGATGAGAAAATATTTTTGGAAAAGATATTTGGGTGTTTTAATTTATTTGTCCTATATGTCTGTTAAAAGTTACAAAAGATGTTTGAGAGTTATAAAATCGATACACTGTTTTCGTCTCTAGCAATTGCATTATATGAGAAAGATATATTTAAATATATATTTTTTTACTATTGTTTATCAAGTTGTTTCTTGAACCGTTTCATAAAATGCATCGTGCCATTATTGTTCCGCATTTTGTTTTATCAAAACCGATTTATTAGGTCCACGTAAGTTTGTTACTTTCGTCTGGTTCCACTTCTTGTAACATATCTATTAAAGAATATCTATGAATATCGTGGGCACGATTTTCTGAGTACTTGTTATCAGTTCCGGTTTTTAGTCAATTAATAATTATTATTACATCGTTTCAGTTATATATCAGTTCTGATTTATATAATTATTATTATTCAAATCGTTTCAGTTATATATTTAATAGATATATCTATTATTCAAACGTGAATCAGTTTTAAAGATATGGCCATTATTAGTTTTGGGTTTGTTTTTTTTTATATATATATTCAAAATACAACAGAAAATATATTTTGGCCATGTTACGATATTTTTGAATAGATATTGCATGGATAGATATATTATCTAATGTATCACTTGTTCCCAAAATATGGCTGTAGTCTACATGATTCTGTTTTTGACTTTAGATCCTCATGGCAGGAAGTTATCTAAAAGATTTTGCCTTATAGCTTTTGACATATATATGTGTGTGCAATTGAGGAACATCGTACAGTAACTAGGCCTATTATTTTTTCAAGATTGGATATTCAAGTTTAGATCAAACTTGTTGTGCATCAATATGAAGTTTGAAGATAATATGCAGTTTGAAGATATATGCTTCCTCAAGTTTGAAAATTCTGTTTTGTGAAACGTGCATCAATATTAGCAAAAAATAAAAAAAATAAAAAAATAAAATAAAAAAAAAAAAAAATAAATAAAATTGATTCAAGTGTTTCGGAAAACGTGGTATGCCCATACTAACAAATTTATGTTTCGTGGAATTATTTTACTGTTAGCGACTTTACTTAATTTGCGTGTTTTTTTGTTTCATGAATCATTTTTTAATATTAAATGATTCATTGTTTGTTTGGATAAAAATAAGTATACTGTTTGTATGGTACACGTCCTTGAAAAATTATTTTTTTTGATTTGTTATTTTTTTATAAATATACTGTTTTATCAGTTTCGTCTTTTACGGATATTGTTTACAAGTTTACGGTTTGTTTGTTGTGAACATTAAAGAAACTTTTGTATTATGTTTCCGGTAAAAGACCATTTTTTTTAATTTTCCAAGAAAACTTTTAGTGTGGAAGTTTTGTTAAAGAACGTTTCATCTTTAAGAAACGCCTTCCTTTTCATCAGTTGCGGTTACTTTGATGTCTGCAGTATTATGTTAGTGGTTGGTTTTTGGTTAATTTGACAAGTCAAAAAGGTTAATTTTGGACAAAGATAAGTTCATTTATGTATTTTTATTCAAAACCTTTGAAGAAGTCCACGGAAGTTTTGTAGTGAAAATTTGTTTGTTACAATATACTATTCCATTTCACTAAATTCAAAGTGTTATCTTTGCGGACCCAGTATTAGTTTGTCCGGTTATTATTTTGTAATATTTTCGCATATAATATTACGGGATGTCTATAACGGGATAATGTAATATTTCCGAATATTTTGTTGAAAATAAGAAAACAAAGAAGAACTCTTATCCATTTTAGGAGAGCCACCTTAGGATGTGGGTTTTTTGTGTCTCCATCCAAGGCCACAGTGAAAGCGCACTATATACCGTATTAGATGTTTGTACAATGAAAGTAGCCACAATAATCAAATCAGGGATAAAGGAGTATGAGTTATGTGGTGTTGCGGCTTTTCTTTTGTTTCATTCAATAATTTTTATTTTGTTATTTTGCTGTATTTTAAATACATGCTACCATTATTTGAATTTTATATAATTTTTAAAATTGATTAGCACATTCCGTGATGGTATAAACAAAATATTATTTTGATACACAATTTTAATAATTGTAGTTGACAATGAGTGGAATTCTTCTTGATTGACAAATGCTATAATTTTTAGAAACACATGTTGAAGAAGTGTTTCATATTGTTTGAGCATGTTTGGTGCAGGAGTTATTATTACGCTTGAAAATCCTAGATTCCTAGTTGAAAATTTCAATATTGTTATTGAAAGATATTTAAAAATCATGGTTGCAGTTTCCATCTTTTACTGTTTAAATTTTGTTGTTGTTTAGGTTCTTTATATTACATAGGCCTCCAATATTGTTACGATTTTGATATATCTAAAAAGATATTTTTGTGCTGGCCTTCAGTACTGTTACGATATTTTTTATTTTTTATGAGAAATTTTTTTTATTTGAGTTCATCTACCACCGATCCAATTAATTTGAGATAAAGATGTAATTGATGTTGATGTTATGAGTGTAAGTTATAGGTATACTGTATCATCATACTTTATATTTAGAATCAAACCTTACTTTTGGGGGCTAAGTTCATCTTCTTCGTGGCCTTGATTTGTGCACAGATCTATAAGAATGTATGTTTCCTATTTGCAGTTGTTCACATGTTCGTCTATCACTTAAGTAATGTCAAAAATTGGCTTAGAATTTGAATACATTGTAACGATAGGAAAACGATAGAGTTTTAATCTATTCCTATCCAATATTTCTAATATTATAATATTACGCGATACATTCAATGTTAATATACATGTGGTATTATTACTTAAGTTGCTCTCGGTGCACAATTTTAAAGTTGTGTTTGATATTGAATGAGATTTTTTTTTGGATTATCAAATGCAATAATTTTTAGAAACACATATTGGAAAAGTGTTTCATGTTGTTTGAGCATGTTTGGTTCATGAGATATTATTGTTGTTTAATAATTATTATATGTTAATTATCTGCCCAAAAGGGATTTTTAATATATAATAATAAATTACATGAAGATAAATATTATTGATGGGAATATCTAATTGAAAATTATTTATCTGTTCAAAGGGGATAAATTTTTTGAAAATTACATGTGATGCGTTTATGTTGGAATTAAGGAGATATATAATTTATAAAATTTATCTGCCCAAAGGGGATAAATTTTAGACAATTGTATATAATTTTCTCCGTTGTTAAATCTTCATGTGATGAAAAATAATTATATATTATATACTCTGCCCAAAGGGGAGTCTATGATATTTAATTATTTTTGTTATTGCTCATGATTAATTTATTACATTATGTGTATAACTTTTAGTGATAAAGATTAACTTGTGTTAAATTCTATCAATTATGAATTTTATTTTATTTTTGGGTATATTTTGGTGCAAAATGTATTAAAAAATTAGCTCTAATTTGATATTGTTGTATAATTTTGTACTCTCGACCTGTGTTGCATGCTGTAATATTTTGTTTATTGGATTGTATGCTTCCGCTTGAACTGTTTACATACAAAAAAATAATTGAGGAGTGCTTCTAGTTATTTCATGCAATTTTCTGCCTAAAGGGGGTTATTGTGTGTTTTAATTGGAAGCTTAACTGTAATAAAATTATTGGAGGTGCATTGGTCTAGGTGATCTATCTGCCCAAAGGGGACAGATCTCTAAAGTCAGTGTATGCTCATTAATTAGTAAGTGGGAGTAAATATATTTTCTTAGTACTTTATGTATATGACATTTTATTTGCTAGTAAGATGTTGATTTATTGAATAAAACAATAGCCTTTTATCTAAAAGCTTTGAAAAGAAAGACCTTAGAGTAGCTTCTTTTGTATATAGAACATGAGTTCTTTAGAATCTTTTGATTCCCTTAATTAGTGGGAGTAATACTCAATGCTTGCTTTTGAATATTTTAGATTTTTTTTGATTCCTTTGGTTAGTGGGAGTCATATTCAGTTTGTTTCTTTTCTGTGCAAACTGATAATTATTTTGTGATATTTGTTTGAATTTACGTAATTGATGATGATCATCATTATTATTGTTTCTCCTGTCGACTAAGAAATATATGTATGGAATAATATCTTTAAGCATGTTGTGAGCTTAAAGGTGATTGGATGTCAGAAATTTTGAGATCTCATGTTGTAATGTGACATACTGGTTTATTTAAGCAAAGCAATTTCATGTTGTTTAGAAATTGCGGTGATGCGATTTCATATTGTTGAGAAATCGTATCAAGAAGTGCAATTTCATGTTGTTTAGAAATTGTGGTAATGCAATTTCATGTTGTTGAGAAGTTGCATTACAGAGTGTAATTTCATGTTGCTTGGAAATTGCACTAATGTAATTTCATGTTGTTGAGAAATTACATTGAGGACCGATAAGAATTAGTGTGTCACATTGTTGATCACATTTTGGCACTAATTCTTACTACACTACTAGGCCTTGATTCATGAAGATATAATACTCATTGTATGTGAGTATGGAAGGTCATATGCTATGATATTTTCGGTATATTGATCGCCATATTCCTATGAGGAGATTATGTTGGATTGAATTGTGTGGAGATGCTGAAATTGGAATATTGTTTTTCAAAATTGTGGCCACGTAAAATTATTTTTTAGTTATTAACCCGATAGAGTCGTTTTCGAAATAAAATGATTTTCAAAATAATATTAAATTAATTAATATAGCCCAAGTGGGAGAATGTTAGAAATTCATTTTATGGGCAATATTAATTAATTAGTTTTGTATTTAAAATTAATCGGGTTAATGGATATTTCAATATTATTATTGTAACTAGCTCATTGTGATCACATTGAATTGAGCTTCTGGCATCTGTTGTTATTGGGCCTAGTTGGGCAGCAGTGTAGGCTTTAGTGTGACCCTGGTTTTCCATGATGGGTGGACCCAGTGGACACAGACTCTTTTCTAGGTTATTAGCTAGGTCCCCTCTCTAGCCTATAAATATTGGAGTTAAGCTCCATAAGCCATCATGCTCCCATCTGCCGAAGGCTGCCAATTTCTGAATAGGCAATAGAGAGGAAGACTCTAGCATCTTGTTCCCATATTTCCAACCGTCCTTCTCTGACTTTGTGATGGCCCAACAAGGTACACATAATTACAACTCTGATTTATTAACATTTGGTATTTTATAATCATTGCATGATTCATAATTTTAGATTTAACAAATCCAACCCAACTCATGTTAGTGTGAGCTGAAGGTTTGACAAGGTGTGTGCTTGTGATAAAGAAAGACATGAATTACCCATATTTCATCATAAGACAAAGACATAAACCTAATTTCACGAATTCCTATGAAAATATTCAATACAGGATCCACAGGTCCATTTTCCACAGAAACACCAAGCCTTGCTTCGACCAAATTTCCAACATTCTCCACCGAATAATCTAGGATTGAATTAGCATCAATATAAAGGAATAGGAGAAAAGGGGTATCGATTTCGAGCTTGGTAACATCACAAATGCAAAATCTGCCTTTAATGCAGAGCTTCTTCAACAAAGGATTGGAGATTTTGACGGAGCCAGAGGGCATCAGATTCCTCAAGTTCACTGAAAACTCTTCAAGAAGGGGACAGCCAGAAAGGAAAGTGGTGATATGGGAAACACATGCGAAGCAAGCACCCATCATGATGTCGGCAATCTTAAGCAAGGGAAGGTGAACAGAGGAAGGGACATTGATAATGCTGATGCAGCCATGGAGCTTTAAAACCACGAGTGTTTTGCAAGTGAAAAGGGTAATAGGGAGTGCGATGTTGTCATCCATTGAAAAGAAGAGTTCAATCTCCTCAACGTTACCAGCAATGGCGAATGATATCCAAGCCTTGACATGGTTAGAATTGCAACTGCCTTGTTGGAGACTCAAGAGAAGGAGTTGGGTGGTGCGTTGATCGAAGACTCGATTTACAATAGTGGAAAACTTGGTGTGGGGATTTGGTTTACGCGAAAAGAACAAGCAACGAGGACGGGGGTTCGGTTTGAAATGGGACTTTTTTTCATATAGGTCAATGAATGGGACTGAGGTCCATAGTGGTCTCCATTTTGTTGACAAGGTGCTTGTGGCTGCTGCTTCTTTGGTTGTGAGGAATGAGAGTATGTGACCCAACAATGGCTCTGGGAGATTGCTGATTCTGTCAATTGCTTGTGACTCTGCCGTGATGGCCATTCGAGTTTTTTGGTGTTCCAATTCAACTGTTGATGAACTCGATGAGGCCATTTTTTTGTGAGTAGAGAGAGATTGAATGGTATAAGGTAAAAAAACAAGCTTTACTTGAGTGTCAAGAGTAATCTCATCTCATCTGCATATGAAATTCAATGTATCCCTTTTATAAATACAATATTAAATACAACATTAAATTTTATTATAAATTTATGTACGTCTCAAAATGGTCTAATAGGGGCAAAGGTCGTGTGTGTCTATATATATATATATGTATGTATGAGTTCATTTTTTCTGCGATTAATGTGGATAAGTTATCTACATTGAGCCCAAAGTGACATCGTTTTGGGGCAGAAATCAAGATATTTTTGTAATTATAATTTATTTTAGGGTTATAATAGTCTTTCTCATTATAATTTTTTAATTTTTCAACCAAAAACGACATTGTTTTGGGAATGAATGTAGATAACTTATCTACATTCACCCTAGAAACATTAAAGCATATATATATGGCAAAATGATTTCTGCAGCTGCTGTATCTACAGCAAGCAAGGATACACGTCCGAATCCTAGGATACGGCAACGGATCCTGAGTTTTTTTTTTTTAAAAGCCGTGGGGCCCACTTTTCTGTGTCAGCTGTAGATAACACTATCTACGGCTGCTGCAGAAATATTAAGCCCTATATATATATATTTAAGAAAATATATTTCTCTAGTTACTAGAGATAAAATTATCTTCAATGAGCTCAAAACGACTTTTTGAGATTTTAAGATTAAAAAATTAGAATGATAAAGACTAATATAACCCTACAATATATTAGAATTACAAAAATACCTTGATTTTCGCCTTAAAACGATGTTGTTTTGGGCTCACCAGAGATAACTTATCTCCGTTGACTGGAGAAATCGTTTACTCACATATATATATATATATATATATATATATATATATATATATATATATATCCGAAAAATATTTCTGCTGTTACTGCAGATAAGTTATCTGTATTTACTCCCAAAACGACATCGTTTTGGAATTGAAAGATTAAAAAATTATAATTATAAAGACTATAATAACCTGAAATAAATTAAAATTAAAAAATCATAATTTTTGTCCCAAAACAACGTTGTATTGGACTTACTGGCAGTGACCACAGAAAAAGCGAACCATATATATATATATATATATATATATATATATATATATATATATATATATATATATATATATATTCCTTTCGTAATATTATTAATGTTTTTTTATTGGAGATTATAATAAAATGAAAAATCTGACAATTCACACGTCGAAAGGTATAGTTAAATTATTAAAGCACGAATATATATATATATATATATATATATATATATATATGGGAAAATATTTTCTGATGTTGCATGAGAATTCAATTCTCATGTTGTGACCCTTCGATTTGCATGCAAAATTTTTCTTTTCTTTTTCTTTTTTTAATAAATGTGGGACTCACCACTAGTTGAGTCACAACATGAGAATTGAATTCTCATTCAACATGAGAAAATCAAACCCCTATATATATATATTAAGGGCTTATCATTTCTCAAGCAGCTTGAGATAATCTTATTTCCGGCTACTAAATTATAACTGTACAAAGATGGATCAATGGTGATAAAGAAAGAGAGAGAAAAAGAGAATCATAATCATTCAAAGGTGAATGAATTTATATAAGGAAATAAATAAATAAAACGACATAGTTTTAAGGTAGTCGGAGATAAACTTATCTCAAGCTGCTTGAGAAATATTTTTTCCCATATATTAAAGTACAAAGTTTTTGACTTTTTCTGCTCAGATTTTTACCATTAATTTAATTTTTCAATAATGTTAAATATCATTATTTTATTTTTATTTTTGAAGTTTTTATATATTAATTTAAGAGGAAAGTTATACTTACAACCTTTTTTTTACAATCTCTTACAACCATATCTTAACACCGTTGATTTCTGTCAATCAACGGTTATTATTTATTGTGAATTAATAATTCTTTAATTCTTTAATAATGTAAAGTGTCATTGATTTGATCTGTTGCAGTTTCGGCAAATATATCGATCGTTCCAAGTAATAAAGTGATGAGAAAAGATTGTTTCCACGAGGATTAATGCACCAATTATTATTCTAACTAGTCCCCTTAATTTGGAAAATTCAATTTAATTGAGATAGAAATTTTTGAATTAAATTTAAAGACAATAATAAGCAAAAGCATTCAAAAAATAATGAAGAACGTAAAAGAAGGTATGAGTAATTAATATAAAGAGACTGTAGCTAGGATGCAAATTCCCTCTGATGCTCCTTTATAATTCTAAATTAATTTTTATAATCTATTAATTCATTAGCTCAGACAATTCATCTTTTCCAAATTAAATAGTTAAACTGTAATGTCTTAGTACGTTTAACCCTTTAATCCAATTAGAATCCTAATGTTCTAGTAATTCCTCTTGAATTAAGCCTTAAGTGGATGAATTTAATAGTATGTAATCTATGTAAGCCTATGTCTAGATCATGTATAGATTATTATTCTACCCTTGTAGAATTAAAATCCCAATATTCCTATTGTAAGAACTAAGGCTTAAGAATAAAATGTACACGTATGGAAATTAATCCTTACCAATTTCAAAATTTTATTAAATATAAAAAATTTGTTAAATGAAACATCAGCTTCCCAAATAATTGATGGTAAAATATCATCTATACCTTGTTGTTCCTTGCATATTAAAAAAAAAAAGGATTTGCTTTTCTCCTTTTGCTGGAAAATTGCCCAACTTCCTGCCGTTGGTTGGTAATTTTTAGAAAGTATAGAATTCAAAAAGAATTCAAGTATTGTTCTCTGGGAACGAGAAATTTATTTTCTTTCGGTTATTCTTTTTTTTTTCTTGAAGGTGAATTTGATGGCTTTTTCAATGAAAATTATAATTTCTAAAATGCAAACTATACTATGAATACTAAGAACACGTTTAAATGAGTACAAATGAAGATTAAAAATCTAGAAATCTGATTTCAATGACTTTTCTTTGAAAGTTGCATGTCTGCGTTTTAATTGTTGTAGCACCTATCTTTATGGAACCTGACTTTTGTAGAACTTAACTAAACTTTTCCAAATTCAGTTCTGAAAATGATTCAAATTAATCCCTTAATCTTGAATCAGTTCATTGAATCAAAAATTTTCTCAGATTATTCCTAATCTTGAAATCTTGAATTAATGAAATGCATAAACTCAAATTTTTCAATAAAAGTTCATGCAAGAATTTTTAAGCCCATTCTCATGGAACTTAAACCAAGAAAATTCAATTAATCAAATATCAAGGACATGCACAGCAGTTTAGAATCAATTATTGGGTACTTGTCATCTTCATCAGAATTCTAGAAAATGGAATTAGCAATGCATGTTGAAAAAAAAAAATTTGAAATAACAGTAAACATGTTTTTCATTCACATATACCAGACACAGTAAAGAGTAGAAGGTAACAGACCAATATGTTCTTCAAATTCAAATTTCTACAACAAAGAGAAACTAACACACGATGCTACTGTTCAGAAGCTTGCATGCAGAATTCGTTTCCTCTTGAATCCCTTCAAGAAAGATCTTCTTCATGCATGTATATCCAAGAAACTCTCAAAGAAAACTAAAGCGCCCAAAATATGTGAAAAACTTATTACAATGAAAAAACTAAGTTCTCTGTTCAACGAAAATCTCACTTCTTTTTATTACAAAACATAGACTTTTACTTAAGCCAAAGCTTCAAATGTTTGCTGTCCATCAGATCAAAAGAGCATCCAACGGGTCTCACTTTGCCATCTCTTTCCTTTATTACAATTGTGACATAACTGGTTCAAATAGCAGAGACAAAATATCGCATATATTATAAATATAACTTTATCAACCCAAATACCTTATTGGGCCCATTCTTTGCAATTTGGGTTACTTTTACCTGCACTTTCAATTATATTCAGCCCATTTCCAATAAGAGTTATACTACTAAACTAAAGAAAATTTCCAACTAACACCTGTTGATACAAAGAAACATTGGGTCCCATCATTTTATAAAAAAAAAAAATAAGAATAAAGTGAGGTACAGTTCACTATGTTAGTGCAGGAAAAAAAATACATTTACCTATAAGAAAAAGTTTGCCCAAAAAAAAAAAATACTCAAATAGTTAGACATGAAAACAGTGCGTATTTGTTACTTTAGTGAGAAAGTTAGAGAGGTGTTTTTGTTCTTTCTTTTCACTATTTTTTTTTTATTGCCATAGATATACTTCATATCTACTATTGAAGCTACTCACAAGAGAAAGGATGAGAAACATGTTTCATTATTTAAATATAGAGAAAAGTGTCTATACTTTTAAATTACACAACTTACATCCTTTCACTCTCACAAAGAGGTGGGACCCACAACTTTATTTTTTTTTGTCAACTCTCTCTCCTCTTTTATCTATCTCTTTCTCTCTCTTAAAATGACACAACTTTACATCCTTCAAAATTATACACACTTTTCCCTTAAATATATACAATCTCACATGTAGGATATGTATCTTGGAAATCTAGCACTCGTGCTACACGAGTTGTTTATTCGAATTCAAGATCTCATTAAGACATTTGTTCGAATACAAGCTCACAGATAGTAGAGGTCCTTGGTACAACAGATATTTGTTTTTGAATGTTGCTCTTCTCCGAGAAGTTATCGATCTGAATTGTCGCTATCTTCAAAAGTTTTGCACTCTTAAAAATATATGTTGTAAGTGCCAGGTCTTCCAAGTAACCTCTATATTTTTTAAATTTAAACATGGTAAGGTGTGATGAAAGACAATTAGGAACACATGTTGGCTCATTCCATGGCATTTCTTCACTAGCAAAAGAATCCTGGCAACAAGGGACACAACTATTCAAAAAAGGTACGAACAAACAACACTTTTATATATATATATATATATATATATATATATATATGAGTGATGATATTCTAACTACCAAAAATTTTTACTACTAGCTTATTATCCATCACATCACCATTGGATCAAAGAGAGAGAATGTTAAAAAGTTTTTTAAGAGAGAGAAAATGTTAATCTAATGATGATTAGATAAGTAGTAAGTTGGTAGTAGAAAATTTTGGTAGTGAGAATATCCCTCCTCTATATATATATATATACCAAAATAAAACCTTGGAATTAATTGAACAAACCCTCTTAATGATAAGAACTTCAAGCTTGGGGCATTTTTGAAGGAACTTTACCAGCAACTCCGATTTATAGCAATAATAATGACTTAGCTCCAAGCGAACCAAATTGCAAAATTCGGGAAGATCTAGATTACAAGTTTTATCAAAGGCCTGCATATAGATGAAAATACATAACAAGACATCATATGTTAGTGTGAGCTGAAGGATTGACTATGTGTGTGCTTGTGAAAAAGAAAGGCATGAATTACCCCTTTGTGACCATAAGACAAAGACATAATCCTAATTTCACGAATTGCTTTGATAAGATTCAAAACAAAATCCACAGGACCATTTTTCTCATAAACCAAAAGCCTTGCTTCCACCAAATTTCCAACATTCTCAACCGAATAATCTAGGATTGAAGTAGCTCGAATATCAAGGAATAGGAGAGAAGGGGTGTCGATTTCGAGCTTGGTAACACCATGTACGTTATATCCACTAAAAATGCAGAGCTTCTTCAACAGAGGATTAGAGATTTTGACGGAGCCAGAGGGAGACAGATTCGCTGAAAGCTGTTCAAGAAGGGGACATCCAGAAAGGAAAGTGGTGATAAAGTGGGGACATCCATATTGAACATATGGGAAGTGAACATCATTGATGTCGGCAATCTTAAGCAAGGGTAGGTGGACAGAGGAAGGAACATTCTTGATGTCGATGCAGCCATGGAGCTTTAAAACCACGAGTGTTTTGCAAGTGAAAAGGGTAATAGGGAGTTCGATGTTTTCTTTGCAAGTGAAATGGGTAATAGGGAGTTCGATGCCTTCATCCATTGAAAAGGTGAGTTCAATCTCCTCAACGTTACCAGCAATGGCGAATGATACCCAAGCCATGACATGGTTAGAATTGCAACTCTTTAGGACACTCGAGAGAAGGAGTTTCTTAAGGGAGTGAGTGGTGCGTTGATCGAAGACTCCATTTACAATAGTGGAAAACCTGATGCCACTCTTGGGGATACGTTTAAGTACCCGTTCTCGTACTTGAAAACAAACCTCTTCGTGTAGATCAATGACTGGGACTGAGGTCCATAGTGGTCTCCATTTTGTTGACAAGGTGCTTGTGGCTGCTGCTTCTTTGGATGTGAGGAATGAGAGTATGTGACACAACAATGGCTCTGGCAGATTGCTGATTCTGTCAATTGCTTCTGACTCTAACGTGATGGCCATTCGAGATTTTTTGTGTTCCAATTCCATTGCTGATGAACTCGATGAGGCCATTCTTTTGTGTGTGCTTTAGAGAGAGATTGAATGGTATAAGGCAAAAAAACAAGCGTTACTTGAGTGTTAAGAGTAATGTCATCTGCATATGAAATTCAATGTATCACTTTTTTAAACACATCATTAAATTTTATTATAAATTTATGTACCTCTGAAATTGGTCCAATAGGGACAAAGGTTATATCATTTCTATCAATCGGATTACGCTTTATTTTTCTTTTCGTAAGGGTTAAAGAGTAACGTCCTCTCCATATGAAATTCAATGTATCACTCTTTTACATATAACATTAAATTTCATTAAAAAATTGTTGGAATTTTTTAAAATCATTATGAGATTCAATCAATTGTAGATTGTCTTATTTTTATAAAAACGGGCTAAGTCATAATCCATACGAGAATGTAGTATAAAGCCCGCTTAATTAAATAATCTTTTTGTTTGGCTTGGATACCTGTAAATCATAAGCTCATGAGGTTAATAAGTTTGACTAGGTTCCTTTTGCATTCACAATGTGTTGGAAAATCATCGTTTCACAACTTGTCCCATTGACAATTGTGATTAGGAAGTGGTGTGAACGACAGAGGAAGATCTTGATCTCTCAAACCTTGCAGGAACATCAGAGCAAACAGGAAGAATAAAATAACTCTTCAAGAAATCAAGAGCCGTGTCTTCAATGAGTAAGCTTAAACCATTTTGGTATTCTAATTTCATATAACCATATTTTGTAATTTCTTATATTTGGTATTAGAGCTTGATTATATAATTAGGTCCCAATAGTTTAATATTGGGCATGATTGCAATTTTGGTATTGAATTCATTATCTCCTTTTATTTTTTGAATATATGGTTTTCTAATTGAATTTTTTTTCTTAAAGAAATCAAAACGTAATTTTTGTTACTTTGTAAAAATGAGGTTCGTTGTCACAATCTTTACTAATTTTTAAATTATTTGAGAGACTTGAATTTATTGCAATTAATTTGGTTTAAACGAAGTCAATAGACACAAACGATTTTTTATTTAAAAAAATTGATGAAAATTTTGATTGAGAATGAATTGTCAAATAGCAGGAGTTATGGAAAATAAATGAATTCGCTAGTTTTAAAACCTAGTTTCCAAATCCAGTAATAAGAAAATAATAAATGGAACCAACTGTTTTCGTCAGAAAGAAAAATAAAAATTGTTATACAGTGGTGACGAAAGTGATTTAATTGTTTAGTTGATTTGGAGCCCATTGTGTTTGTCAATTTTATTTTATTTTTAATATTGAATCTCCAAACAAGATATATAGAAAAAAAAGGGTAGAACTGTAGAAGTTGAATAAAAAATCTTTTTGATTGTATATCTATGTATTATAGAAAGCAAAATGCTATGCTCTCCGTTCATCTTTTCGCTACACCAGAAGTCATTGGAAATTGTGACGAAAGTAGCTAAGTGCTATGTAGAGGTGAAAGTGAATTAAGCTAGAGCTAGTTTTACTTCAATAAATCCATGTTTATGTTATAAAATTTTAATTTATCCTAATCCAAATTTAGTATGAATTTAACTGTTAACCTAAGTATGTATACATTTACCGTCAAATATAACCTCTACACGCTACTAGCAAGGCTGCTTTACCATGGGACAACAGTCACAACACCTCCATAGCCAAGCCAGTAGCCAAATTGTTTATATTTTTCCTACTCTGTATACGAGGCTCCAAGTCTCCAACCATACTCCAACCATTCTTTGTTCCTTTATCTATCATATTTATTGTTTTTTATTGTTACTTGTTTAATCATTTATCTTACCTTTTGTCACCTGTACGTAACGTGTTGCTATGTGAGGAAATTGGTTTCCACTATGTCAGCTCTTGCTATCTTAGATATTTTGAATAAAATAATAAAAAAGAAGAAAGGAGGTTGGCATATTAAAAAGACATCCTTGAAAGTTCCGATGAAGTTTATAAAGAGATCGATGAAAAGAGAGGGAATTGTGAAGAATTGAATGTATTGAATCAATTGAGTTCTTTACAATATACAGTACTCTATTTATATTACATTCACATATCAGCTAACATTCAAAACAGGTTTAAAGAAGTTATAACTGACTTAACAAAATGACACGTGATTAGTTGCTAAGTTGGCATGTATGCTAACTTGAGCTGGTAGAGTATTATTGTTCATTACCACCCCCCCCCCCAGCTTGTTGACATTCAAATTGAAAGGTTGAGGATGCAATGCTTTTGTAAACTTGTTCGCGACTTGAGCGGCAGAAGAAACTGGATGCAAATGGATAAGCCCTTCGTTAATCTTTTCACGGGTAATGTGGCAATCTAACTCTATATGTTTGGATCGCTCATGGAAAGCTGGATTATGTGCGAGGTAAATGGCTGATTTGTTATCACAAAATACAGAAGCAGGTTTTGTAGAAACAAGACAGAGATCTTTGAGTAGATAGTGCAGACATTGTAGCTCACAAGTTAGACTTGCTAAAGATCTATATTCAGCTTCTGTGGAAGAATGAGAAATCGTGCTTTGTTTCTTCGATTTCCATGAGACTAGAGCAGATCTGGTGAATATGCAAAAGCCAATGATGGAGCGTCTTGTGTCCAAACAACATGCCCAATCTGCATCAGCAAAAGCAAAGACATGCGTGTTATTGTTTGCAGGGAAGAGTAATCCTTTCCTTGGAAATCCTTTCAAGTAGCGTAATACTCTGAGTGCTGCGATATGATGAGATTGCATAGGATTAGCAACATATTGCCTTAATTGTTGTACAGAAAAAGCAATATCTGATGTTGTGGTTGTCAAATAGAGAAGATGACCAATAAGACGTCTTAGGGTGCAACATCTTGAAAAGGTTCTCCTTGTACACGTTGCATTTTCTGAGAAGGATCTAGTGGTGTGCTTGCTGGTTTGGTGCCAACAGTCCGCCATCTTCAAGTAACTTAAGACAGTACTTACGTTTATTCACAGCAATACCTTTAGAAGAACGAGAAAGCTCCAAGCCCAAAAAATAACGAGTTGGTCCAAGATCCTTTCTCTTGAATTTTTTATCCAAGAAGTTCTTAACACGAACTATCTCATCTGAGTCATTACCCGTAAGTAAAACATCATCCACATAAACTAATAATGCAGTGAATGATGAATTAGTTTTGTGGACGAATAGAGAATGATTTGTTGATGACTGCTTGTAACCAAGGTGTGTTTTGAAGTATGGCATCACGCCAGCATTTATGTTTTGAAGCCTCGTTGTAGGATTTTGGTTCAATATGTGTACTCATATTGGAACAGATATGTTTGCATGAGGGTGAGCAAAAATCAAAAGAATAAACAAAGGATAAGGGATGAGAAATACCTGAGGAATGTTGGCAAGCTGAAGAAGTAAGCAGGTTGCAGTGATAGTCAACAAGATATGAAGGGGGTTAGCGGATTCGGGTGGATTTTCTAGTGTTCAGAGACTGATTTACATTATCAGTTGCAGTAGCAGTAGTCAACTCTGGTGTGGATATAATTTCTTGAGCTGGTAGGGTATGCTGAGTGTGCTGACTTGAGCTGGTAGGATATGATGGAGAGATAAGATCATGATCAGTTTCATTTGCTGAGGGGCAATGCTGCATAAGTAGAAGGGTGGGGATGGTAGGTTCTGTTTTTGGAAAAGGAAAGTAGGTTTCAAAAAATATGACATGGCGAGATATAAATATTGGGTGAGCTAAAAGATCATAGAGTATATAACCTTTTGTATTTGGTTTATAATGACCCTAAATGGTAAATCTTAATTAGAAATTTAATTTAAGGATTTAAATGCCATAATTAGATTCAGTGAGTGATTCCGAGTATTTTGACTGTAATCATGACTATGTTATGAACAGTGCGTTCTGCCGGAGAATTTACAGTTTTGTGAATTAACCGGTAGAGCTTAAAAGAGCAAAATAATTTTAGAGACATAATTTGATAATTCTGACGACAAATATGAGTTCAGAACGAAAAATTGTATAGTCTGACACTTTCCGTGAAAATCTCGTGAATATTGTTTCTACCGGGTATTTTGCACTGCTGTTTAAGCAACCGGTAGAGTCCAGAAACAAATAATTGATGTAGTAAGAATATTACATTGGAAATAAAATCCTTGGAAACATACCTTGATGTTTCGGCCTTGATGTGTTGTGAAGGACTTGGTGTCTAAACTCAAAATAGGAACCTAGTGGATGCATGCCTAGGTGTTTGCAAGTTGTAAGGAAGTAAAGAAAATGTATTGTAAAAGAGATGGATCTTTGGGAATTCCCCTTATAGGATTCGACCTATAGGGTATTTAGGGATATATTTTGCTACATTTTATTGTAAATAAAATGTGTTGAATTCATTGTATAAAATTGATGAGTTAAGAAGTGAAATGACTTGAAAAATGGTTGAAAAATACTTTGATTTCCTAAGGGTATGTCCGCGGCTTTTGAAGTGAAATGGCATGAATGATGTTGAAAATTCTCAAGTGAAAACTTGATTAAAATTAAAGAATGCTAACGAGTATAAGGTGGTCTAGACTTGTGTATTGGCATAACATTGGCAAAAATATAAAGAAAGGAAGATAAGCGATAAAATGTATGCCTTATGGAAAGTCTAGGCATGATAGCATTTTAATGATTTGTATTTTTGGATTCTTGATCTAGGTGTACCTAGGGACTAAAAAGGATCATAATCTCTTGAAGACATATAAGTAACTTGTGCAACAAGTAAGCGAATTGATAAAGCTTCAAGAGGTAAGCTCTATGTTTAAGGAGTCTTTTCCTGCTTGAGTGATCCACCATGGTTAGTGAACTATGGTTGGACTGTATGACTGTGATTTAGATGCTTTGTATAGATGCATTCATATAGAGTTATTTGATAACATGATATGTTTTGCTCTGATATGACTTCTGAAATATGATTTCTGTAACAATCTCTGGCCATTGATTGTATAGTACCCTGGTGCCCGCTTTGGGGTCCACCCTCGGGACTAATGGTGTACGCCTCTGATATGTCTGGTT